AAAGACAACAGCTTGTACCCAGTTTAGATGCTAGGCTCATTAGCTGTCCTCCTAGACTCGAAAAGGAATGCACGTGGTAGGTGGTGTTCTAGAATGCACACATGCTGTGCCATGGATTGAATAGCATGGAATTCCTTGTCACCAATGTGGAGGCTTTACAGCATTTGGCTGAGTAAAATAAGAAGCAAATGATTTTCATTACTTCCAAATATAAATTAGAAGCCTTTCAGAGTGTGATAGTATTGTCATATTTGATGTATTTCCTCAAATACCCACCCCCTTCTCTGACCCTCATGCCTCTGTGCACATACAAAGTTCATCATTCAAGGGATGTACCTCAACATTGTCTGGGCATAAGATATATACACTTCACCCCTAGGGCTGTATGCTATTTAGCTGTTGCCCTTGGAAATTTTGCCCTAAGGAAGGTCACTGATAATTCCTTAACCTGATCATAGTAGCCCTTTAGTTATTGCTGTTAGGTGCCTTCACGTCAGCTACAACTCATAGCAACTCTGTGAACAACCTAGATAGTAAGTGTTAAAGGAAGAGCACAGTGGTTCAGAGTCCCATCAGCAATGTATTTGTAAAAAAGACACAGCTCTGCATTGCCACCTCCAGCCATATTTAAAGCCTCAGAAATAAGACGATCTTGCTTCAGAAGAGCCTAAACGTCTCCTCGCCCCTCACCTTTACCTAGCATGCTGCCCAAAATCACATTGTAGAAGTTCAGACAGCCACCTCTCTCTCTGGCTTGAGAACAACTCCTGCTTGCCTTTGGATGTTATAAAGTTGCCCTTACTTTAAAATTACTTAACCAGCCCCAGCTCACAATAAATTCTTCACACAATCACCTTTACTTGCTGCGTGTGCAACTTTTAAATCACTGAGAAGGCTTTTTCCCATGGGCCATGCTCCATGGACAACCTGAATTTTGCAGTTCCTAAGCCCGTTAGGGTTCACACTGCTTGTTAAAATAATAATAAGTGAAAGAATCCATGGCTAACAAATCTGCATTTTCAGAGAACTTTAGGAGAAGTGCTAATTTGAGCTTTGGTACTTTGGACTCTCCACTGGAAATTATTTTTACTGTCTGTGAAGCATAACAGAAGTGATGCTTATACCCTTGAGGAGAGAGCAATAAAGGCCTTTCAGACAACTTGAGCAAATTGCAAGCTGCTGCCAGAATTGATGAGCAAGAAATATTTCAGCCATGAATCTATCTTAAAAGGATAAAGCTAAAAACCCATATAATTCAAGTGTATGGGGTTTCCCCACAGCTGCACAGTCTCCTAGTTAAACCCAGAAAGAAGCTCTCTGAGCTGTGTGACCCTGGCCAGGAGAAGGATCAGTGCATCCTTGTTTAGTTTGCCTTGAAGGGGCCCACAGCCCAACTCTGCATCTCCAGCTTTTTCCCAGGTACCATGTTTCACTGAAAACTAGATTTAGACACTATAGAAAGTACACCCGTTTGCAAAATTTTATCAGTCTTCCGTTTGGTTTCAGGATGGCAAATTGTACCATAAATCAAACAAATTGAATCTTGGAAACTTCTGGTATTGTCAAAATTAATCAGCCCTTTAAAAGTGATGGTGTGACAAACATGAAATATTGAGCAGTTGAGTTGAAAAAGAAGCCTTCACATAATATTGATGATGTTGATCTCATTGGGAATCATTTGGTTCTCACTTAGATAGGACTAAGCTCCATGACTGCCTGAAGTTTATGTCAGACAACACAGTGCTGACCTATAGGGTGGATATACACTACTGCTTAGAAGGATAAAACAATATTTGGAAGAGGGTAGAACTGAGTTTGAGTCCCAGCTCTGCAACATACAGCTGCATCTTGCCTCAGTTTTCTCATCTATAAAATGGCTCTGTATTATCTGCCTCATATAGTAGTGGTTAGATTTTAAAATGTATTGGTAGAGTGTGTACCTGGCCCACAGTACATGCTTAGTAAATGGTCGCTACTATTAAAACCTAGCTTTTGTGTCTTGCTCACTGATACTGTCTCCTAAGTGAGAAAACAAAATGTGTATCACTTGAGCTAACCAAGGAAATGAGACTTTACCTCTTGACTAAACACTTCTTTATTTTGTGTCTCATATGTAAGTCTTTGGAGATAGGAATGATGCGAGGTAAGAATGTGAGGTTTCACCTAACATACTTTGGGCATGTTGCTAAGAGGTGCTGTTCCTTGGAGAGGGAGGACATGATACTGGGAAGGGTGGAGGGTCGACAAAGGAAAGGAAGACCCTCAACTAGGTGGATTAACACAATGACTCCTGCAGTGGGCTCTTGTGTGTCAGGAAGTGTGAGAATGGGGCAGAACAGAACAGAGTTCAGATCTTTTGTTCATAAGATTGCTGTGAGTTGTACTTGATGACATCTAACAACAACAACAATGTAAGTCTTATCTCCCTACTAGCTAGTGAGGACCCTACGGATGGAATTTGAATCTACTTCTCTCCTATACTCCACAACGGTCACCTGTTGTTGTGTACTGTGGATTGGAACTGACTCATAGCTGACCCTTTAACCGGTTTTCAGAGGCAGTAAATGCCAGAGGAGGAGATTGCAGCTAGTGGTGGATCCGAACCATGTATCTTTGCATTGAAAACATAAGTCCTTACCACTAAGCCATCAGAATAACTAACAGACTTTCAAGAAGTGGTTGTTGGCCTCTCTCCATATTTCCTTTCAAGGAGGGGATGTTCGTCCCTTTGAGGATGTAACTTTCTAATAAATTTGTCTTTATTATTTTACCCTTAAAAAAAGAAGTGGCCTCTTGTTATGAGAACAAGATTATAGCTGAGATCCTGCCACAGAGGAATCAGAGAGTGGCTTGGTGACTATTATTTTCCAGTAAAATCACTGAGAAATTTTAATGTCTTCTAATTGTTTTCTGGGTCTGTCATGAGCCATTTTGTTCTGTGCTTACAAAGTGTCATTAACCCTGCAACTGGGACAGAGATAACTTTCTTCTCTCATCATTTTTAATGAAAATTTGGTTTGTCTGGTCACCACTTAACATTACTGAGAGGTCCCTTGTACTTAACCTTTTCATCGACATGTTTAAATATATTTAGTGAGTTCTCTAACTTTGAAATGAGCAGGTCTAATTAAGGCATTCTACACTGTATGTTTTTTCAAGATCTATTAAAGCCCTAGGTTTTAATTATTGCTTTGGGGAAAACTTGATAAAGAATGAATTTTCTTTGAAATGCGTACAGGTCTGGGTGAATGTATAGCGATATTAAGTACAGATTGAGGAACGGATACTCCTTCACATGTGTATATTTAACCAGATTTGTAATAATTAACTTTGATTCTTCTCTGAGAAGCATGTTTATAGATGATTCATAGAGACTTTATGACAAATAAGGGCACAAATATGTGTAGATTTTTTTTTAATTGTTTTTAATCTCTACATGTGCTGTTCTTGAGCTGTGAGGTAAATTTTACAAAGTTCTGTTTTATCCCTAGAGAAATTGGAACCCAAATTAATTGGGTGATTTACCTGAAGTCGTGAATCTTCTGCTTCTAGTATGAACAAATTTTTTTTACGATATTGCCAAGAATTGTCATTAAACATAGTTACCAACTTCATCTGTTTTCTGCCATCTAACACAGCTGATCATTCTATATTCCATAGCAGATTATTTTCCATTTCACCACAAAAACATTCTTTTGGTTTCCCTTCCAGTTTGAACGCCATGACCCTGTGGATGGGAGAATCACCGAGCGGCAGTTTGGGGGCATGCTGTTGGCCTACAGTGGGGTACAGTCCAAAAAACTGACTGCCATGCAGAAGCAACTCAAGAAGCACTTCAAAGAAGGAAAGGTAGGTAGGCAGCTTTGCCTGGTGGGAGAAAGGAAATCATGGCAGCGTGTGGCTGCTGCAGAGGTCCTAATGTAATGATGAGTGTGCTGTGAACCAGGAATTACCATCAACTCATCTCTGGTCCCAGAGCCAGAGGGAGGGGAAAACGAGAATGAGTGAGGAGGAAAGGACAGTCGAGACTGATCCCAGGTTTCCTGTTTAGGTTCAGACTGTCGTGTTGATTTGTGGAGGAACAGCCAGAGTTCATCCGTGAGCATCTTAAGTTTACAATGTCTATGGACAAGCTAATTAAAGGTTACCAGCAGGTAGATGAATGGTCAGGTCTGCCCTGGGCACTGAGGTCATTTGGCAGTTACCAAAGTACTTTCAGAATCCAAACCATGAAACTAACTCTCTGTGGAGGGAGGGTGTTATGCAAAAAATAACTGTGTACCAAAGATAGAATCTAGCCCAGGAAGGAAATCTAGAAGAAATAATTAGGAAAAACACAGAGGGAATAGTGAAATCAAAGCCTAGGAACTAGAAGATTCAGGAACTGAGGAATCTACAGTATCACATGCTACAGAGATGGTCCAGTCAGAACAATGATAAACATCCATTGGTTTGGGTAAAATGGTAACATTTGATAGCCTTTAGAACTGTTTGACTGGAATGGTCTGATTGGCAGGCAAATGAGAAGAAAAGGAAGGACGCTTAAGATAGAGGAGGAAGGCAGAAAAAACATTCCAGAGAGAAACAGCATCTGCAGGAAGTCTAAGGAAGGACAGACCTGGCACGTGTGAGGAGCTGGAAAGAGACCAGTGTGGCTGAAGCATCCTGAGCAAAGAGGAGACTGGCCTGAGAGGAGGCCAGGGATTAAGGGCAAGGCTGGGACATGGAGGGCCTTGTAGAGGTGGAAGGAGTTAGATTTGTTCACAACACAATAAGAATGCAGAGGACTGTAAATAAGGAGATGATTATCTCCATTTAAAGAGACAGTTCTGGCTGCCACATGGAAAATAGTTTGGAAAAGAATAAGTATGGGAGCAAAAAGAGCAATATTGAGATTATTAAACAGTCCAGGAAGAAAGGTCTTGTAGAGGTTTTGGAGCAACATTGAGATTGGACCACAGATTTTGGTGACTAGTGAACTAGGGGAGCTCTGGTGGTGTAGTCCATAGGGACTTGTGCTGCCACCCCAGAGACCAAGCTTCTCAGCAGTTCAGATCCAGCAGCAACACCCCAAGAAAGATTGGTAGTCTCCTTTCATGAATGACAACCTCAGAACCCCAATGGAGGATCACTCTAAGTAAGAACCAACTCAGCAATGATGAGTGAGTGATGAGTGAATCAGCACTGCTCTCTAATACCCTTCCTTACAAACTACACCTGGTGCAAGAAGAGAGAACTGTTTGCTAGAACTGAGTCAGCATCTGGGCTTTGCCACACTGACAACAGCCAGTTAACTCTCTGATCTTCATAAAGATCCTATACACACACCCACAAGCTCTTCCCACTACACAATGATTACCATCTAGCCTTGACCAGAAAGTGGTCTGGCACTCAGAAGGTGCCATGAGAAACTAATAGGGTGTAGTATAAGTGAATTTAGAATTCAAGTCTTGCACAGACATTTCCACAGACAGTAAACAAATCACTTAATCAAATGGCCTCATGAATTAAGAAGCCTCGATGCTCATTATACGGGCTTCCCTAGCTTTAAAGACTCAAACTGACAATAAGAAATAGAATTGATGGTGCTTATCTCAGCTTTCTTACTTGGTCTTTGTGCAAGAAATCTTGTGTGAATAGCGTTGCCCTTAGTTGATAACAGCAGTTCTTCTCAGGCAGCATTTTTTCCCCTTCTTGGTCTTGAATGTTGAGACCCTCTGAAAGAACCTCTGAGCCAGCCCAGGGTCTGGAGAAGATGGCACCCCTCTGAGCTCAGCCAGCCTGGTCCCACCGCAGCCGTTGTAGTGGGGGGCGAGAAGTCTGGGTAGGAAGTTGAGTATCAGCATTAACAGAAACTGACAGAGGAAAATACTCAGCACCTAGAAAGGGTTTGCATACGACCAAGGCTCAAACCATATCTCTTGGATATTATAATTTCAGAAAATTGATTACAAACATTTAGGTGAATTTTTTTAGTTCCTGTGTTGAAAGCTTAGCATTTTTACCAGGAAACTCTGTTCTTTAGACCAGACTTGTTTTTAAAGTTTGATCCAAGCATCGATTTGACCTTCAGTTCATTATGACCATGATAGGCTAATTCATTGTTATATTACAAATTTATACGTTAAAGCAATAAATTGGGTGTTAGAGACATCTTTCTTGAAGCAGTAGAATATTTTCACTTTGGCAGGAGTTAATTTAGGACTTGAAGATCTTTCAAAAGAGTTGTAAAGTAAAAGGGCAGATTTTATCAGATGATGAAAATTGAGGATGCTAAATTACTTCTGGCCCATGATTTCTAGCCTGCTGGAACAAGGAAATTGAGATTGACTGTCCTCTCATTTTGATTAAATAGTTTGTGAATATAGCCATTAACTAAAATGAGAGTTAATGAAGGGCCTTTGCTCCTAAAGTTGCCAATCCATCTCTTCAGAACCAATTCCATTAAAAGAGAATCTCCATTTGTTTTTAATTATATCTTTTATTCCATTTTGGATCTGTCATCATGAAAGTAACTTTTCGTTTGGTTCATGTTAATCACTTTCCATGTGGGGTTCTATATCAAGTTATCAAACCAGATCTACAAGATTGAAGGTCTGAGTGGTGGTATTAAATAAACATTTGCATAGTGTTCAATGGCCATGCAGTGCTTCACAGCCATTTTTCTTGTTCTCTCTAACAGCCTTATTTGGTCTCATTTTGCCTTCGAGAATATAAAGACATACAAAGAGAAATTAGTGAGCCACTCAGAGACAAGAATGAAATGCATGCAAGGCTTCTTGTCCTTTTGATGGCAAAATTCTCTTTCTCCTAACCAGGCTCTTCCTCTAAAGTAGTGCTTCTCAGTCCTGGCCTCGCATTGAGAACACTCAAGAAGCTTTTAAGAAGTATATTTTGGTTTTAATGGAAGTTTACAGAAAGGCTCAGTTTTCATTCATTCACTGTTGCACATATTCCTCTCTCCCTTCCCCCTCATCCAGTCCACTTCGCAATGCACCTCTTGTTCGAGATTGTTGTCATACATATAGTACCCAATTCTGTTATTCCTGTCAGACAGTTCTTCCCCTCATCTTTTCCAAGGTAGTGTTGATTACCTATCCACTTTTTTCCTATTCTTCCCCCCCATGTCAAATAGTCATGAACTGAAAACTGTATAAACATCCATCAGTAATTGTTATTGCTATGTACCATTGAGTCACCTGCAACTCTGTGACAGTAGCTCTGAACTCTGCTCTGTTGTGAACCAGTCTTACTGTGGCTGATACACCTACCCCCATTGCTTCGGTTACTGTGTCAAATACATCTCAAATACATGGGGTCTTCTTCTCCCACACTGTCCTGGCCACATTCCCAAACTATGTGAGACAGAGCTTCAAAATCCTTACTTCCAAGGAGCAGCCTGGTTTCACCCTTTCCTGGATAAACCTGTTCTCTTAACAGACCATGATATGTTCAGAACTCTTCTCCAGCACCACAGCTCAAGTGCGTCAATTCTTCTGTCATCTTTGGTCATCATCCAGCTCTCTGGTGCATAGCAAGTAATTGCTACGACCATGGGCTGAATCAAGCGCATCTTAGTCTCTAAACTGATATCGTTACTCTTAACACTTTGGAGAGGCCCCAGATAACACATTTTCCTAATGCAGTTCATCTTTTGATTTCTTGACTGCTCGTGTCAAGAGTGTTGACTGTGGAGCTGAGCAAGCTGAAATTGTTAAGAGTCTCAATTTCTTCTCCTTCTGTCATTTACTGCCAGTTGGCCCAGTGAGAATCTTTATCTTCTTGATCTTCAATCCATATTCAATCCATCATCTTTATCTTCAGTCCATATTGAAGACTCCAGTCCTTGACCTTCTGCAGCAAACACCTCCTCAGCTTTGGCAAGCAAGATGTTTTATCTGTGTAATGCAAGTTATTGATGAGTTTTTCTCCAATCCTGATGCCACTTTATTTCTTATAAAGTGCAGCCTTCCAAATGGTCTATTCTGCACCTAGATTGAAAAGGTATGGAGACAGGATGGAAGAGATAATATTAATATATTTATCCTATAGACTTTATGATCATGAAAACACCAGGAAGTCTAAATGCATGATACAAAACAAAAGCAAACTTTCTTATTAAATAAATCTGTTTTATAAACTTTTAAAAGATGATAAAATGAATCACTGATGGTAGAAGTGAAATTGTTTCTTCATTCTGTTTGAATATATCTTGGAGAAATATGTCTTAGAGAGGGTGCAGCTGCAATGCTCTTTGGAGGCAAGAATGATGAGACTTCACCTCACATACTTTGGGCAGGTTGCTAGGAAGGTCTGTTCCTTGTAGAGGGACATGATGCTGGGAAAGGTGAAGGGTTGGTGAAGGAAAGGTGAAGGGCTGGTGAAGGAGAGGAAGACCCTTGACCAGGTGAATTGACATGATGTCTGTTACAGTGGACTCTTACGTGTCAGGAAGTGTGAGGATGGTACAGGATAGAACAGGGTTCAGATTTTTTTGCTCATAGGGTTGCTATGAGTTATACTTGACAGCACCTAACAACAACAAATTCTATTTTAATGTAAACAGTAAGAAATCAGTAATATAAATGTAAAATGTGAAGGAAGGAAAAAATGTAGCTATCAGAGATCTCTGCAAACTGGTTAAATTAGTGGATTGGGCACAGCGTTAGTGTTTTGTTTTGCTTTTGTAATAGGTTCTCCAGGTGATTCCTTTGTTCATGTAGGCCAGGAGCAACTGCTCTGAAGGGGCTGTGATCCATCAGTGTCTGTGCATGTTTTATCCCTGACTAATAGTTTAAAGAATAAGGGAACCTCTCATGAATGGCAGGAACCCCTGGTGATGCTTGGCT